TCCTTCTCATCCTTGACCATCAGACACCCTACCTCAAAGTGTAAAGAGGTAAAGTTGTAGGTGTGGAAAGGTCAAATATGAAAAATAATGCAATTTCGTTTCAGCCTGGCACTAACAGAACATGAAATTAAAAACAATGCTTTACTAGATAAGGAAGAACTGATTGCATGTAGAGAGGCCCCAGTCCTCAACTATCAAATGTTCTATCTGAACTCACATCATTTAGAACAGGAAACTCAGAAAAATCTGTTTCCTTCAGATCACGTTGATGTAATGGTATATAAAGTAATTAATATTCTGGATTTCAAACTGGCCTACTGGAATCCTTCAAGGGAAAACAAGACAAAAAAGCAAACAAAACATTTCCTTTCTTTTCCAGAGAAAGATAAATAGGAACTGCTAAGCAAGCTCTGACTAGCTTTGAAATCTCTTATGAAATTGGATTGTATTATACCACCTAAAGAGGATGCCAGAGTCATCAAGTTGTTAAGAGTTGATTGTTCCACTAAATAAATCTGTTTAGGAGGAAAAAAGTCACTGTTGATGACCAGAGACTCTTTTAATCTAGAACTGAAATGCGGTTATCGAGCTAAAAGCTGATGGTTTAAAAAGCCTAACCATTTTCTAGACATTAAAGGAAGCAAAGCAAATCATCTCCCAAAATGTTTATTGCTTGAGCCATTTAGTTAGGAAACAACTCTCAGAGGCATAAAATTTGCAGAAAAACAGTGGAACAGATTTCTGAATGGTGGAGACCAATTATTTCGGTATTGAATCCAATTTTAGCTTAAAAAGCTAACAGATGTGCTTGAAATTTATTACTCTTTCACCTGTCCTTTCCCTAATTCAATTAAGTAGATGGAGAGAAAGAGCGAGAGAGAATGTGCTTTCTCTCTCCACACAGAGGTGGCTATCGATATGCAGCAGGCTGAAGTCGGTGGTGCTTGTGACAAATTCATTAAATTTGTTCTTTTTGTATATCTACCAACCTCTGCTATCAGAGAAGATATAGTATCCTGGTGGATTTTAAAGCTTTCTTTTAATCAAAATTGTGATGTAAGGCAAGAGATTTGCCATTTACCAGCTTCAAGTTTTTGCCCTTTCTTTGGTCACCAAGTAAGAGGGTGGTGCAGGATGTAAAAAAATACACTGATCTCCGCTGGATTTAATGAGTACAGTTTGAAAACTAATTTTATACAAATTTATCACTCCATTTCATTTTTTGATATGTGAGTAGAGTTATGTATCCAACAAGAGATATACAAACCCCTCAAATGCTGCCAAAGAATACAAGTTATACAAGCGGGCATGTCACAGGCTGACTTAGTGACTCACGTTTTGGCAGCTGCCCTGTAAACAAAGCTACTGAATTGGTTTGAATCTGTCTAATTGTAGAACTTTTTATGCAACTGACTTTCAAAGATATGCTTTAATGAATTACTAGAGAGCGAAAATTTGATCAAAACGCATGAATTACTAATGAGTTGAAAAATTAGGTTTTAGAATTCCTATTATAATAGTTGTATTTCAGTCTCTGGGTTTAAATCAGACATGAACAGCTGCTAAATCTGACACAAAGATTTGCAAATCAAAATGCATTTGCTTTCTGTATTACTGTAATTTACATTTCTACTTTGGGAGTCAGACTGCAGCTCCTGTGTCAAATACCACTGTCAAAGCTTCTGATCATCCACAAACCTAATTTCGAATATCAGGCAAATATTGAGGATCCAGTAGTCTACGTTGCTTTACAGGTGATTAGAGGCCTGTTCATACATTCTAAGTGCTTTAAATATACAAAACCTACCAGAATACATGGAAGAAAAAAAGTAAAGTAAATAGAAACAAATAACAATGATTTTGCAGGTCAGATCTTTCCTCAAAGTTGTAATATTATGGAGGTAGCCGAGTTCCAAGACAAGATGGTCATGCTGCTTATTAGCAGTTATTTGCCTGTTTACAGAGATGTAAACAGTGACAGCTCTTTCTCTCTCTTTTCATTTCTTCTGGAATGTTGTTTGACTTTTAGAACTGAGGACTTGATCACCTCTGTCTGCAGAGGAGTGAAAGAGTATTTTTGGTCAATTTGGTTTAACATTAGCATTTCGTTTAGAAATTGAGCAAGAACTCAGTTAATGCATATTTTCAAATACTGTTATCAAATCTTCACAGTTTGTCACATGGTCTGGAGCAGCATTTACCATTAGTACCCACGTCCATGTAAGTTAACAATTTCTTCTGCATTTTCTCCAGAATTACACATCTCGGAAGCTGTGATCCAGTACTTTTGGATATGAACTTTAGTTTTCTGCGTTAGGCCAAAAATGACTTTTAACTGAATGTTTCTCAGAATATCCAGAAATTAAGGGAAGTTGGAGGCAAAGAGCTAACAAACTAATACAGCTAATGCAGCTCACAGAAGGTGTCTTCACAGGAAAATTAGACAAAGAAAAAAAACTTCATGCCTTCAGTACCTATATCCACGTAGTGCAGTTAATGCTTCAATGCTATATGCTATGTCTTTATTTTTTGTCTATAGCACAGAGACTTGAACACAGATTCAGCTGACTTGTAGGCTGGTTCATTTTCACTGAAGCTGATGACATCTAAGCTTTTCCCTGAAGCTTAGCATGCATTTTCAAATACTACTTTGCATGCAGATGTTTCCTCAAAATCACGAATGTTTCAGTGCTAAAGTTTCATTTAATTTGAGAACAAAAATGCTTTGTTGTAATTGCAGCACCAAGGCTTGAAATTTACAGAAATGAAGCACATTTAGTTTATTTAAATGACTATGATTGCTTAAGCTATTGCTAATTGAAAACGCTATTAACAAAGTCTAAGATGGTTTTAGTCCCTATGTCTGTTAAACAGATCTGCCCCACAGATCTTTGTTGGTACCCTGTAGTATTTTAATTTATGCTACCAATGTGTTTTCATGGTCAAATGTTTTAAGAACATTTTGAATTTCATTTCAGTGTGTAGAGTGATTACTGGACCATTTTTCATCCTTAAGCTGTATAAATAATTATTTTTCCAAAAGTATGATACATTGAAAAATTGAGGGAAAATTAATGACCAGTAGCAACCTTACTATTCCTACCATTATTTATACGGACTCTGTCATTCATAGAAATGAACCTTACTGTTTCAGCCACAGAGTTTGCACCATGTGTGTGTTGTAGACAAATATCTGTACTGCAAGATATGGCTGCTTGTCTTCAGTCAAGTAGCACAAGCTTTGTGCTTTATGGAAACCTTTTTTCTATGTTTGAGATGTTTTTTTGTGGGGGTGGTTTGGTTTTTTGTTTGGTTTTTTTTTTTTTAATGGTTGACATATTAAACAAAATGGGAAATGACAAGTAATAATGAGGCTACTCAGATGATATATTTTATAGTTTTGCAAGGAACACAGTCACAGAGGTGATCATGTTTTTTGTTTTGGCCACATTGTAGCACAGTTGTTCTATTTAAGTAGGACCCACTGTTATATTCAGTGAACAGTTCTGTTCAATAAATGTAATAGCAATGTATGTTCTTTTATGCTTTTTCTTGTAATTATTATTTGGATGGGTAGCTTTCAAAGAAAAGCTGGGTTTTCTTCGAGTTTTGGGGTTATTGTTTAATTTTGTTTTCCCCTTCTACAAGTAAAACTTAATAATGCTACCGGTTTAAACAAGAGGAGGAAAACATATATGAAAAAAAGTAAATTTGTCCTTCCACAGAGATGGACTAAATGATCTTAAATGTGTTTTCAAACCTAAGTGATTCTATGATTCCAAAGGCTCTGTCCTGAAATATCTGGGAAGTGACCAGTGTATAGCATCACAAACATTTCAGTGATTGTGATTATCTATGATAATATATAAAATAACGTATAAGAAATTATAACAGATAAGGCAGTAGATTTACCTCAGCAGGTGGAATTTTAGGGATACATAATATGTCAAAGATTATACATCAGCTAATGTATGAGTGTTTAAATTAAAGAGTAAATCTAATTTTGGTATATTTCGGAAACTGAGAAGAAAAATGAAATTGCAAATTAGACTTAGACTAGGTAAAACCTGCTAGTTTATACAGATTTAAGCATATTCCATGAACTTCAGATACCAGATTTGGGAGTTAAACTGAGAAATAATGCTTTACAACTTTTGTAAAAGTTACTATCTTCAGGCACATGCATAAATAGTGAATGTTACTCTAGAACAAATGATAATTTTTATTGTGTGTGGTCTGTGAGTGTGTGGATATATAGATACATATATGTGAAGATATGTGTGTATATGTGTATATATATAGATAGATAGGCAAAAGAATGCTATCTGCATTTTCCCTAGCCTTACATTAATACATGCCAAGTATAGTAACTCACTTAAATCAAGACTACAGCAATAGTTTTGATAAGTGTCAGCTAATTTGTAAGCATTGCTGAGGGCAGTGTATTTATAAGTGCACAGAAAAATAAAAGCTCCGTAAAAGAACAGTATATCTTTTTGAAGTGAAATTGCCAGAAGGATTTTGTATAAGGAAGCTTATTCATTTTTGTAAGAACTGTTCCAGAATAAGTAGCAGAGAATTCAGTATTCTCTGCCCATCTCTGGGTCTTTCTTGAGAACTGCACTGTTCGTGTGTATTTGAAGTTAACTGCTTGTAGTGTTAATTGCAGAAAGAAGTCTTCAATGTCAAATGCTGTTCAAAATTCTGAAGTGTTAGTCATTTATGTAAATAGAAATGGCTAGATGAGCTAAAATAAAACTATTTTTTCTGAGACGTTTTACATTCCTGTGTTCCAGAAATATCTGTATTTCCTCTTTTCTTCTTTGGGTTTTGTTTGCAGCTGTGAGAAAGGGCAGTAAAAGTTGTCTTTGTGTTTTCTTTTTTTTTTTTTTTTCTGAAAGCAAGCAGAAGTGTGCTTTTTCTCATGTCCTATAGTAAAGAGTTCAAAGCTGTGTAACTGAGAGCCTGATTTCCTATTCTTCTTTCTTGGCTTTCTCAAGATTGCTGCTGCTGAGGAAAGGTCTCACTGCAGAGACAAAAATGCTACTGAGATACCTTGAGCCATTTCTGTGACATGGAGCATCATGGGAACTACTAAACTGACCTTACGGTTTGTATGAAATCAGTGATGTCTTATGTGAATATGTCCTCAGTGACTGATGAAGAGGCACAGCTGTGTTTTGGTGTAGCTGGAGTGTAGTTCACTGCTGAAATGTTTGTGTTTAAGGTAGTCTGGGGGAAAGATGCAGAGGAGTGGCCAGGGTGACAGATAAGGGCCACTTATCTTTTGCATTCTTCTTGGATGTCACTACAATAAATCTCTGCTTCATGATGCTAAATCTAGAGCCTTCAACCTTCCAGAATTCCTGGACCAGATGTCAGACCTGTCACCAGATGATCATCAAGTCCTGTGTAGCTTCTTTTGTGTGAAAGCAGGAGGGCTAGGAACCCTCTGATGAAAGTGAAAGTTGAAAAAGCACAACTCTTGTAGCAAGAAATCAATTCCACCTCTGCAGTAGTACTAATCTCTGTAAGATTTGCCCAGCAAGTCCCAGCAGTGAATTAACACAGAGCTTGTGAAAAATATAAGGAGCTGTATATATAACTGTTGCAAATGCTTCGCTGCTGAATGATTGCTTGAAATAGATTGATTTTTTTCATTAAGGTTAATTTTTATTGTGAAGATCCTGATTTTATCCTCTGAGTCCCTGAGAATACCATGTTAGACTGTCTCTATACAAGTCAAAAAACATTGAGGTTTAAATTCAGTTCACAGTAATGGTTTTCCACTTAAAGAGTGGGGTTAATTTATTTATTTTAGATATGTTTCAAGTTTAGCCTCTTTTCATCTTATATATTTTTACCTGACCTGTTCTCTTCCTGTTTACTGTCCCCTTCAGAGTAAGAACAAACTCTTATTTACTGTCTTTCTCACCTAGAATTTAAAATTCGACCTGACATTAAGCTATTCTTTTCTGTACTAGAGGGGAAAAAAAAAATCCAAGTCATATGGTACTATCCTTCACTTTCATTGAACCATCTGGATTAAGCTCCATTCTGGAGCTGAAAACTGTCAACGTCTCTTGATGCAAAGCAAACAGACTTAGCTAAAAGGGAAGTTCAAGCTGGAGCATCAGTGTGTAGAAAGTTTAGAGGAGTTCAACACTGGAGGAAGGAAATCATCATCTGTCAGAGGAGTCTCATCCTGCCCAAAAGCCATAGCATTAAGCATCTAATGCTGTTTCTTTAAAGATTAGTCTCATATTCAACATTTCAGAGTAAATCAGATTTTGAGTTTATTAAAGTTTACTTTTGATTCACTGTTTGTAAAGCTTATGTCCCAAACAAGAGGAAAGTCTAGTCTCTCAAATCAGGACTTCCTTAATTTAAAGAAACTACAAGAAGGACTTGTTACTGCATGGCTCACCCCCTCAATAATAAAATTAAGACCCATATGATTTTATGATACTCATAATACAAATTAGTTCCGTGTCCTTCTGAAGTCTACATAATGTAATTTATTATCTACATAATTATGTTAATGATTGTAGTTATTTACCTTCTAAATGCCTTGAATCAAGGCATTAAACAAAGAAATAAAGTAAAACTATCATGTAACAAAGCATTTGAAATGCCATATGATTTGGACTTTTGTGTAGGATCATAACCACTGAAAAGATGGAGTTCACTAGTCATATTTATCCTTTACCCTTAAAAAAATCTTAGTTGAAACTGTAAGGACCCACTGAAAAGTAAACTCATGTCACATGGGATTGAGTATTCATTCCAAATGGTGATCATTATTTGAGTCTAGAATATTACTTGTTATTTTATGTTCTTGGCAATTGTTGTATCTCATTTAAAATATTTATTTTTCCTTTGGGCTGTGTTTTCCCTACGGAACTGGAACAGTTGTTCTAAAAATTATGGTCTCCCAGGCAAAATAAATTTAGTCTTGGAATTATGTCAAGACTTTTAACTTAAGATGAAGTTTAAAAACAATTTTTTGCAAAAATGAAACTCACTTTCTCCCTTTAACTCATCTTTCTACGTACTGCTTCTCTGGGTGTTTCTCTCTGTAAATCAAACATATGCTCTTTTTCTTTCTTACTGGAAGACTTCCAAAGGCTGGGGGGAAGTCTTACAGGAAACCCTTCCAAAACATATGTAGGACTTGTTCTTCCTGTGCAGATAAAACCCTCAGATGTGTTTAAATGCAGACTAACTGAAACTGGAAAGCTGTAATATTTGGTTTGGGGCACTTTTTAATTAAAAGGTAGAAATTTGATGGCTAGTTTTCTCCGTTATAATTTGCACCAAGAGTTTTGCTTCATTGTGTTTCTTTCATTGAGTTCCAGATGTGCTAAAAATTTGAGATTTATTTTAGTTTAAATGTTTATTTGATCAAATGAGCATATATTGCATTCTGAGACTTCCTTATCAGATTATCAGATGAAAATCAGTGCAGTATGTGCCTTTCATGAAGTTTTCTGTATGGCTTTGATTTGAAAACATCTGTCTTTTGAGCTACAAAATTAAACCAGAAGAAAAGACCCATACACACAAAAAGTTGTGACTTAAATTGTTTCCCAGATACAGGCTTAGATTTTCCAGGTGTCCTGGAGTCAAATTGTATATTTTATGAATCTGATATTTTCTTGTGTGACTATTGATATACCACATAAATGGAATCCACTCTTAGAATACTGATGATTCATACAATTAGAATTTTCTACAAGTGCATTATCACAAGTTAATTGAGCAATGTCTAAAGTGATTAGCTCTAATTAACTTTACATATCTTTCTGTTTTTGATTCTCCCAGGGAGCATACATTGGACTTCTAGCCTCTTATTATTAACATTCTTAAGTTACGTATGCTTTCACGGATCCCTTGGGAAAGTCAACCCACCCTATTTAACAGATATTTCTTTTGGAGCAGCAAGGAGCAGAGATGAACAGAAGCAGTCAAGATAGCAATATATTATCAACAATATTCCCATCATTATTTGAGGTGTGTTACTAAGAGAAGCTGCTGAGTTACTCTCCTAACCTGGTGTTTGCTCATTACATGTTTTGCATATAGTATCACTATTATTAAGCCTTCACTTGTTTATAAACTATCTTTAAATGCTGCTTAACAAGGAGACATACAGAGGTAGATAATTATCAGCATTAGGACCTAACTAACACATGCTGAGTTCAAGTTTACATCACATCTTTTACACTAGTCTGCCCCGTATTAGAAATGCTCTCATTTTATTGAGACAAAAGTAGAAATTAATACTATCAAATCAGATAGTATTTTCCAGTCCAGATGGATGTGCAGATGCTACCAGGGGTGTTAAAGTTGTGGCTTGCATCATGTGTGCATTCAAAATGGGCTTTAAAAATAGTGCTAACATAGCCAAAAAAATGGGAGAATGAGTAATTAAAAGTATGAGTGTCTATTTCTTTTCTTCTCCCCCCTAGCTTCACAGAAGGTAAGTGCTGGTATTTCCACTCTTTCAGATACAATGCTGAAAAAAAGATCTGTGAAATTAAAGTCTGTACTCCTAAGAAGGGTAAATTTTAACTTTTTCTAGCTTTCTCAGGAGCTATTAAATCTTTTTAGGTCATCACCTAATTAAATGACCATGTAAAAAATTATTTTTGTCAGGCACGTAACCCATGGAGTACTTAGGTTTGTGGGATAAATGTAGCTGGGGATTGACCTGGATTCAGGAGGTCCAGTAGTGCTCAGGAGGTAGGAAGCTCAATCTTTATTTTCATTACCACTGTATGACATGCTGCATCTCAGAATATGTATTGTGAAACCAAAACAGACATGTATAAAACATGAAAAAGACCCAGATTATTCAGGATTGAATTAATATTTTAATCAATCAGGAAAGAAATTAGATTTAAAGCTTTGGAAAATAAGATCTAAGGAGTAAGCAGACATTTCAAACAATGCCAAAGTATTCATCCTTGTATATACAGAGAGAGAAAATTCACACACACACAAATATATATATATATATATATATATATAAAAAAGAAAACAAAAATATTTCTAGATTATTTTATAAATACCTAAAATCTAAGAAGATAAAAATCTGTACTTTCCTATATGATATGGAACATACTAATATATATGTGCATATATACACCAGGAATTTGAATTTTGAACATACTTATATATATGTATATATATATATAAGGAATTTGAATTTTGCCTCTTGTTCTGTTTAACTTTCATAAGAAAAAGTAAATTCTTAACTCCTTACAGAGCTTATGGGCTAGATTCCTGAATTGAATTCCTGGTCTGAAGAATTGAAGATGTAAGTAGGCACAACAGTGAAAAGAATTTTAAGAAATAAGTCAGGTCCACCGAAATACACTTGGAGTCTGTAGATCAGAACTACCAGAATGAAAAAAGTGGCCCCTATTACTAAACAACAAAAAAAGTCTTCAGGGTGGTGTGTTTATTATACTAAATAAATAATCTTAGTGTTTTTATAATCAGAATAGAGTGGTAACATCTTCCCACACCAGATTTTCTTGCCCATTTCTTTGTTATAGCAAACGTTTGAACACTGTTACTGCTATAGATAAAACATTAACCCTTTTCCCCAAAATTACTCTTTTCAAACTTTTTATATGTAAGAAAAGCCAGGAGTAATTAGCACAAAACAATTATTTATCTCTTTGATGATGGAAAAGGTGTTTGGCCGTATTGCTGAAAATGAATCCCTTGGGATGCTGTAATCTTCATTACTTCTCCATTTAGAGTATCATCTTCAATTATTGTTATCAGTCCCTCAGCAATTGTTGATGGGCTGAAATAAAAAGTTATTTCAGATTCATGATGTAATAAAACGTGAAAAGGACAAGTAAAAGAAACTCGGTGTAAATCTATATAACCTGAAAATTAAACAAATTTTTGTTTGAGCAAATTTCCTTAGAAGAAAAGCAGAGGTGGTATGAGTGTTTCAGGAGAGATATTTAGTCTCCTCAATCAGGACATACATGTAAAGTGGCTGCTTTACAAATCCTCATTTGTTTGCTCTAGTTTCTGATAAACGCCTGTGGACTTCCAAATGCTACTGGACTTCCTATCAAAGTCTTCTCTGCCAGGAAAATGGACAGAAGTAATCCTTACACAATCATCTGCAGTTCTGCTGTTGATTTATATATTCTGCTGTTTCTGTAGCAGGACTGACATACAAATTAGCATAAGGATAATTTCACATGCAGTTTGCTGTGGTCAATAGGTTCAATGTATTTTACATATGGAAAAGTATGGGTGAAACAACACAGTCATAGCATTTCCTTTGTGCAGAAGCATCTGAGCAGCCAATTGTTAGAAACTAAGAAAGTGTTAAAAAAACCCACTTTATACTTGTCTTGTTCTCACAGGCTCTCCGAGATGTCTGCTTTTGACCTTTGTTGGCAATACTGTAATGGGTCAGATAACTCTTTGATCTGATGCACAATGGCTGCTACTGTGCTTTTATGAATTTAGTCCAGTTTTTTCAGTTCTTGGTCTTCTGTCTTGTTTCACTGGCAAATTTTGCAAAAATTCAATGCAAATTATATACCTTGTATCTCACAAGAAGTT